AAATATCTATCATTTGCACCAGGGCTGCCCCCAACTAAGAATTTTCCTAGTAGACCAATAGTCATCATTTAGGGCCATTAGTCGACGATTTGCCCGTATGTTTCCGATATTAATTTAATTATTAAAGGGAAAGTGCACCCAAGAATGAAAAGTAAGCCATTATCTACTCACCCATATGCCGAGGGAGACTCAGGTGAAGTTTTAGAGTCCTCACATCACTTGCAGAGATCCCAGGGGAGAGGAGGTAGCAACACAGCTTCACCTAATGGAGGCTTATGGCGCCCTGGATTCAAACGTCCAAAAACACGTAATTGAAACCACAAAATATCTCCATACTGCTCGTCCGTAGTGATCCAAGTGTCCTGAAGCCCCGACTTAAAAAGTTGTTGGAAAAACGTCATTTGAACTCTGTTTTTAGCCTCATTGTAGCCTGTAGCTCTGACTGCCTCTCTGCAGACTGCACTCACATGTGCACGCTTGCGCGAGACGGTGAGACATGGGCACCACGTTCATGTGTGTTCACGTGCTTTCGCTGGTCTTGCGCGCAAGCACGCACCTGTGAGCACAGTGTACAGAGAGGCAGTTAGAACTGCAGGCTACAGTGAAGGTTTAAATGACGTTTTTCCAAACACCTTTTTATGTTGGGGCTTCAGGACACTTGGATCACTATGGACGAGCAGTATGGAGATATTTTGTGGTTTCAATTATGTGTTCTTGGACATTTAAATCTGGGGAGCAGTAAGCCTACATTAGGTGGAGTTGTGATGCTACCCACTCTCCCCTTGGATCTCCGAAAGTGTTGTGAGGACTCTAAAACTTCACCTGAGCCTCCCTCGGCATGAGGGTGAGTAGATAATGGCTGAATTTTCATTTTTGGGTGCACTATCCCTTTAAATGATATACTTTGGGCGGGGCAACACAATGGTTTGAGTTGAAGGTGTGAGAAAGAACAGTATCAGTAACATTGTTAACACTGTGCTACATTACAGAGAAATACAAAACCGTACTAATGAACCTTCATGAATATAGGCCTGTATTTTATCTACAAGTGCACGTCACACACTGAGCGAGCCGTCTGTTAATGACGCTGTCGGCAAAGCAGTAATGATTGTGCTAAGTGGCTAATGAGCATGTAGCTACTTCCATGTTTCAGATGAAACGTCATGTTTATAGTCTACAAATGATGGGCAAATGTTTGCCTGCAGAGCTTACGTGTCACCTTGAGTTTGGCGACTAAGCAACCAAAAGACAATTTGCCGAATAATGACCTTTCTGGTCAACTAACATTTGGTCGACTATTAGGGGGCAGCCCTAAATTGCACTGTTTATAGCTGTTCCAATCAATCAAACTGAGAAAAAACAAGAGCCCCTTTAAGTCGTGAACACAGTAGAACATAAAGGAGAGTAAAATTTTAAAAGAGTAACCAAGAAACAATGGTATGTGGATCCAAAACGTCTCTGGGGAGCAGGGTCAGCTAATGTCAACCATTAACATTAAAATGTTGTGTTTAACAAGCCTCAAGTTGGGTGCTGTTAAAACCCAAAACCCAGGCATTTCTATAGACCTCTGGGAACAGTTGCTCTAGTAGGTAGAAAATAGTTGCTAAAGTTAGCTAACATTACCAAATAACGTTAGCCTGACAGCGGTGCATCCATGTACAGAGCTGAAATATAAAAACACATTTACCTATCCGACCAAAAGCAAGATTGCAGTCATGGTAGTAGTGGGTTCAACCGCACATACAACAATTATAGTCCACTAGACTCCTGCACGCTTTCAGGAGCTCACCGTGTAATTTGTAAGAACGAAATCAGGCATCTCAGTCAAGTTGTTGTCAAAAAAATCCCTTCTTTATTTTGCATGGATCACATGCAAAATTTTCTGACAATACCTGCCGCCTTCCGGTTCAGCCAACCCTTTAACGTAGTCACGTTCCGCTATTTCTAATTCACGCAGTGTATGTTCTCATTTTCTGCCCTCCATTTGAATTTCATAAAATAAGTTAAGATAAGATAAGAGAAGTTAAGATACACCTTTATTGATCCCACAATTGAGAAATTCCAGTGTTACAGCAGTCAAGGGTAAAGAGTCAAATTAAAGATTTCAATATTTAAAAACTTAAAAAAAACTAGGCATGCAGAAAAAGTACAAAAGATACAAGAAACAGCAATAAATAATAACAATAATTATAATGAGCAGTGGATTAAAAAAAGTGAGCAATGGATTAAAGTGAACATATTTGTCACGTCAACACACGTCGTTATAGTCACGTGATTGCAAACAAGGGCGTTCCAGTGCCAGTCTGAACAGTGTCCATGGAATGACCTCTCTCCTTCCTGACTCATCTGCTCTCCTTCCTGTTGTTACTTTCCCTTTCTCTCTGCTTGGCAAACACTCAGAGAGGCTCTCACTGTTTTTTACAAAGCCTGTGCTCGGACAGGACTGCTGCTTTTGGAGGAGACAAGAGGAAATCGGCAAGTGTGTGTGGCCACGCTGAGCTCTGTGGTGTGAAAACTACTGTCTGCAGCACCAGAGCTAAGGAGCACTGAGATTAACTCAAGATTAATAATAATAATTTCATGTCACAGCGCAGAGAGGAATAAGCTTGTGAGTGTAACAGTCAGCCAACTATAAAACTAGCCAATTTGTTCATAAACTAGCCACCCTATAAGCCACTGAGCTGGTTAATTCGGTCGGTCAGACTTGCTTCCAAACACACAGTCTGTCAGTTATCCAGAAAATTCCCCCGGGAAAAGCACAATCACCATTCCAGACTGGGAATGCCGACAAGAATTTATCACTGCCGCATTTTTCCCCCATCTGATTTACAGTAAAGCTGTATTTGAAGTGATGAGGGAGAGAGGTTTTAGGGTTTTCAAGGCAACACAGAACTGATCTGTCTTTGTGTTTTTTTGCGGTAGATCTCTATCACTTTCAAAAGAAGTCTTCCAGATGTCTTCTGAGTGACCTGTCTTCCTCTCTCTCATTCTTCCCTTAATTCCTTTAACTGGCCCCATTTCGCTGTCACCGGCACACTCGCTCGGATAGCCTTCATTCTTAAGGGGCCGCTTGTGTAAACCTCGTAGGCCCGTAGGGATAATTGCCAAATTAGTGCATTCTTGCTGCCCTCGTGCTAAAATGAGTCTCATGTTCAATACGCATGTCAGCCTCAACTTCCTCTTTCTCGCGAGCAGAGATTTACTGTCACAAGCTTTTTTTCTTTTTTCTGTTTTTTTTTTTTTTTTAAGAGAAACATTTTTCACGCTCGCATCCACTTTGTTTGAGGCTCTGAATCATGGCTGAGCTACTTAATTGGTGAGTCATGAGGTGTCCACATGCTATAGCGTGTGTATGTGTGTGTGTGCGTGTGAGATAAAACACCGAAAAATTGCGTCAGTATCGCTCTGCAGAGCAGTCAGCAGAATCTCTGACTCATTGAGTTCAGTGGAGGAATGAGCATATGAGGAGAGGAGATGAAACCATGCATGCCTACACTCAATCTTTGTGTGTGTGTGTGTGTGTGTGTGTGTGTGTGTGTGTGTGTGTGCGCAGCTGAAAGAGAATATGGTGCAGGGTCAATTGAGTCCAGCCCCAGGGAGGGTAGATGTGAGAAACATAGGTCAAAGGTCAGGGAAAAAGAGGCAAGAGAATCCAGACAGTTTAATGAACTTTAAGCTTTCGTCCTTTCTTCTCCTCTTGGTATCACTTTTCACTCTTTGTCTTCTTCCGTACAGTCCTTCAGGGCCAATTTGGTTTGACACACTTGTGCTCTACAACATGTGCTATAAATAGAATACACATCAGTAAAATTCATATAGAAACGTCTTAAAGGGATTGTTCGAATCTTTTGAAGTGGGGTTGTATGTGGTTCTTATCCATAGTCAGTGTGTTATACACGTGTTACAGTAGATGTCAGTGTGTCTATATCACTCTGCAGTTACACCTCCTAAACACTAGCTGGCGGTGGGGTTTCTGTGAAGTGCTGTAAAGTTTAGTTGATTCAAAACACACATTAAACACACATTAAACATGGCTTAATAGACACAATTTCAAACACAAGTACACAAATTAGCTTCACCATAACTCGCAGCATTCACAGACAAACTGAGCATACGACAAGATAAATGAGACTTGGATTGTACTACATGAGTTGTGTGAGAGTTTGTGAATGGATGTTTTAATACAGTTTTGCTGTTGTTAAGCATGGACCCCTTTTACTCTAAAGTGGGATTTATACTCGTGCATAGAGCTGACGCCGTAGCCTACACAGTTGGCCTACGTTGCTATAGCTTGCAGCATTCACAGACAAAGCACTCGTCTTTATCTGGACACATTTTCCCCACAAATACAACATGCTAATGTTTTTAGCACAAGCCTATGGCATTTTACATTGTATAAATTAGCCTAGCAGCTAGTAGACTTTTCCTCTACTCATATGAAGCCAGGGACAACAGCAGCATTTAACAAAGGTAACGTTACAACATTTGGCTTTATTACAACTCACAAGGTTCACTGACAAAACAACTGTCTTATACTAAACACGTTTTCCAAACAAATATAACATGCTAACATTATTAGCACAAGCCTATGGCATTTTACATTGTATAAATTAGCCTAGCGAATAGCAGAGATTTCCTCTGCTCATATGAGGCCAGGATAAATCACACACAACTTAAAATGCTATTTTTGTGGAGGCTTTATTGTCTTTGCAATTTATTGTTTCTTATCTGTGAAATTAAAGTAAATAAAAGCTTTGTTTCTACTGAGGGAAATGGTTTCAGCTTACAGAAACAGACAGAAGGTCTGCATTGCCGTAACGTGTAGTTACATTTCTGGGGAGGTGCATGTCAGGTTACGCCATAGCTACAACATTGAGTCAACACAGAAGTATAAATCCCACTTAAGAGTAACATACAATAAGAAAGAGGTCAGTTAAAGCTATGTATCAATGGTTTTATTCTCTTTCTTTCTCTTTAAGTTTTCCTGTGTGTGTTTGCAGGTGCTCCCGTTCCCCAGCCAGGTGGTTTATAACCGTGTGGGGAAGTGCGGCAGCCGAACGGTGGTCATCTTACTAAGATTACTGGCTGAGAAACACCAGTTTAACCTGGTCTCCTCTGACATCCACAATAAAACACGCCTCACGAAACATGAGCAGGTAAGACAACAGAGAGGATGGTGCAGTAGGGGATGGATTTAAGGGTCAGAGGTTTGATGATATTTTGACATTTATCCATCATGTGGTTGACACAAGTAACTGTTACACTTTCAGTTAATTACATACACAAGAAGGGGCGTCGGTGGCTTAGTGGTAGAACAGGCGCCCCATGTACAAGGCTGTTGCTGCAGCGGCCCAGGTTCAAATTCAGCTTGTGGCCCTTTGCTGCATGTCATCCCCCCTCTCTCTCCCCCTTTCATACTTACCTGTCCTGTGCATTAAAGGCAAAAATGCCCCAAAAAATATCTTTAAAAAAAATTACATACACAAGAAGATGGGAGTTGGATGGGGGATTTAAAAGAATTAATGGAGCTCTTGATCACATCACATGATCTTCATCAGATTGTGTTATTCGCACAAATCACGGAAATATAGATGTTCAAATTTCCATTTTTGTATTTTTACTTGGGGAAATATTTGCTCTTAGTCATTTATTATGCTGCTAACATCTGAGAAACAAACTAAATTAACATTTTTTTTATTGCTTTGGGCCCTATGGGAGCTTGTGGTTTTCCTAATCCCACTTCTGAAGTCATTATTTTATGTATTCATTCTCTCTACATAAATTTTCAGCCAGGTCCAAATCACTTAACTTGTATTTAAACAGCCAGATTGAAGTCAGTTGCTGTTGTCAACTCTTTAAAGAAACAAACAGCATCCCCGGTATTGGTAACACGTCCTGTATTTGGGGAACAATCTTAAGTGATATGTATTTTGCACTTAACTGTGCGGTCACAGTGAACATAACAGCAGCAGGAGCTCATCCAGTGTTTGTGTTTCATTCAGTGTGAGAACAAAGCTGAAAAATAGGGAATCTCCTTTTATTACTTCCTGAAATATCTCGAGGACATGAGTGCTGGCTTTACAGAGGAAAAACTGCTTTCGTTTAAAAAACCGCAGCCTTTTGAGACACTGAGAGGGGCTCGCCTGTGCCAGCGGGAATGCCAGCACAAATGTGCACAAAGCATATCGGAATGGCACTGACTTTTTTTTTATTTTTGATTAAACATAGTTTTTGTCTCATGATTATTTTTCCACTAATCCCTGTTTTCATAAAGTAAACACATAAGTAATGTAAATAAAAGACTTTCCAGCTACACTAGGGTCTGGGCACCGTGTGTTATGATGCGAACATGACTAAACTGTAGTTCCAAAACAAGCCCTGATTTTGGCAGGGTGGCTCACAGAGACCTGGCCATGACCAGATGGTTTAAGCTCAGGTTCCTGTGAGAGCAGCAGCTGTACTGAACAACAATCCAGTGGTGGAAGGAGTGTTTCAACCTTTTATTTATATAAAATTACCACAACAAACAGAGTCAAAATACTGCTAGACTACAAGTAAAATTCCTGGCATTTAATGTTTGACACAGGTAGAAGCACAGAGTCACTATCAGCAAACACAAATATTAAAAGTAGCACTTATAATGAACAAAGGCCCCTTTTTAGATCATTTTTTGGGGCTTTTTCCTTCAATATATAGCACTGTATTCATTGTGAAAGGAGGAGAAAGAGAAGAGATGACATACAGAAAAATGCTGCACGCTGGAATTGAACCCACAGCCGCTGTGGCAAGAACATTGCTTCCATATATGGGATGCCCGCTCTACTCACTAAGCTACTGGGTGCCCCACAATGCACCCTTTAAAGCTAAAATACTTTTATATGGTATGATAATCTCACAGCACAATTCTGTTTTTCTATTAACCCATTTAAAACCCAACTATGTTCCAAATACACACAAAAAATATTGTAATGGTGGATTTCTATTCTAAATGCAAACATTTTTTGGATAAGGATTCTTTCTGTCAATTACAATGGACGCAGAATCTTAAAGCAAAAATCAGATAATAGGAAAAATGACAATAAACAGTGTTTACAGAATGTTTTTCAACAAAAAACATTTGTTCATTTATTTTTCATGAATTGTTAACTCATATCAGTGAATAAAATGATGCTTTAAAACACATTGCATATATACTTTATATTGTCTTCATCATTACGACTCAATACATCCTCTATTTCTGAAGTATCTCCAGAAAACAGAATGTTAAAAATTCTCCGAGATGAATATTCTATGAACATAATCAATAGAATGTATAGATTGATAAGGTTCATACTATCTTCTTATTTAGAGTATTTTAAGGCTTTCTTATATACAGACAGACAAGATGTAAGGAGATGTGTTTTACCCGCTTGACAGTTTCGACTGAGACTCCAGTCTTCCTCAGAAGCGTCATCCGACGTGCTGCTGTCGGATGACGCTTCTGAGGAAGACTGGAGTCTCTCTTATTTTGTTTATTACCTGTGCAAATACATTCAGAACTTTAAACTCTATGCTATTGGATCATAATTACTAAATAAAGTAGAATTTTACTACGTAATCTTTAACCATGTATTGACGTGCCCCAGTAGCTCAATTGGCAAACCATGAAACCACATGTAGGCTGCATCCTCAGCAGCAGCCCAGGCTCAGTCATAACCGGCAGCCCTTTGCTGCATGTCGTCTCCTTTCCCTCTCCTCCCTTTCCTGTCCATCCCCAGCTGTGCTGTCAAATAAAGACAGACAAAACCCCCCAAAAAAATCTAAAAATAAAATGTGATTGAGGTCAGTGATTTTCAGTACAAGTGAATGCAGAAGTATTTTAGTTCTTAGGAGCCAGTGCAAGGGCCAAGCTGCCTCATATGCACTTCTGCTTTTGACATTTCGCATTGATCAAATGTCTCTTAGTCATCCGTGTGTGAAAGAGACATAAGCGGGTGTTTGTGTGGAGTGTTGCAGCAATGACTCACATCCTCATATGACGTTATTTACAGCATCCTTTAGGGATAAGCTACTGCTAACCACTCTTGAATGGTCAGTGGATGCTAAATATGTCCAACCATTACTGACCGATTTGGTGTAAACGTTAAGCCAATATTGAGACAGCCACTTGTTTATCCATTCATCACACCCTGAGACGCTGGCTGTACACACAGTGGCAGAACATCACTGGATTCATTAATTCTCTGGACATAAAACATCTCTGTGAATCGTACCAAGCAATGCTCCTCAGAAAGAGCGTGTGCATTCCAGTGTCTGTGCAAAGGGGGTCTGTAGAAGAGCGTACGTCTGTGCTTGTGTTTGTGTGCGATTCTGCGAAGTGTGTCTTCATCTTTGTGTGTTTATTTGCATGTGTACTTCGGCGAGTGTTGACTTACGCAGATCCAGACGCGCGTCGCCTAAGTTTAGAGATGCTGGTCTCATCAGTTGTGGTTCTGGCTCTAGTCTGCAGTTTTTGGACCGTTTTTCCCTTCTGGCTCTCCCAGCAGTCCGTTAATGGGTTTGCCCAGGGTTGAAGCCTCGTGTGTGGGTTGCCAAAAAGTGAAGGTGCCTTATTTGTCTGGAACTTTGCAGAGCTTTTGCAGATTTGTGGCGTATAGTGACCCATCTGTCCCTTTGAGTACAGGGGGGAACAGGCTCCGTGGGAGAGAGAGGTTTAAGACATTTCCTGGAAGAAAAAAAAGTCCAGAAACAGAAAGACAGCATCTTTATTGTAAGTGTGTCTGCGTTCATGTGGGATCCTGTTTCCTCCCTCTTACCAAGAACATTAACCAGCAGACAGATGCTCTACAGCCGTGAACCCTGTGCACCTGCATCATATAGCCGCAGATACACAAACACTGAGAAGTGACTGCCCCAGTACAAACACAGAATGTAAATAGTTATTCCCTAGTAGCATTTTACCAGCTACAATCAAAGCGCGTACACTGTACAATTTGAGCCCATTTTAGAAGTGTTGTTTAATTCCAACTTCCACTGTACAACTAAATCGTCCTCGATGTAAAGCCAAAGCTCAAGATTTATGTGCTCACACAGTGCGGTCCGATCATCAAGCCTTCACTTGGGTCCTCACACTGTATGGGTAAATAGACAATAAAACGGTTCGTCGGCCCCAGTGGACACGTTCTGGCCATAGACAACTGTCAGTGAAGACTTGTTTGAAAGCTCCAGGACAGGTAGAAATTTGTTTGCTAGCAAGGGTACGGTTCACAATAATGTGTAGACAGATGTCCCCGAAGGAGCTTAAAAGCAGGTCAGTCCAAGTTTCGTTTCCCTTTCTCTCCTTCTCTCTCTAGCCCCTTTTACGCTGCCTGTTCAGGGCAGGAATATTGCGCCGTTATGCTGCCTAGCTGTTCTGTATATAAGGTACGACTGAAGAAAGGGGGGACAGAATGGTCTCGCCGTTAAGCTGCCACATAGGGGAGTAACAGCACCAAAACGGTGTCTGTATAAACATTACAGTCTGCTGGATGGAATCATGGACGGCACAGGTGTAACATGTACTACACGTGCGACCCACGGCGAGAATTTAAAAAGTAGCTGTTAGCAGTTAGCGGCTAACTCAAAGAAAAAGAACAGCCGTAAATGTCCGCAAATTGGGAAAACAATAAGATTCGGGAGCACCGTATCTTCCGAGCAGAGGACGAGATAAGCCTAAAATTAGTTTTAGAGTACATTAAACACAGATGTATATCAAAAACATATGTACAGGATAATGGATAGTGAAAAGCAGTGGACAGGTTTTTCAGCTTCTGCAGTCAGTAAGCGGTCATACAGTCAATGTCCATGCTGTGTATGAGTCCTCATGACGTGGATGGCAGCTTGGGGGAGAAAGCTGTCGCAGAACTTTGTGGAACGGGTTCTGATGCTGCAGATGGCCCTTATGGCAGAGGAGAGAACAGACTGTGTGAGGGGTGGGAGGGGTCTTTAACAATTACAGAGGCTCTGCGTATGCACTGCCTCTTGAATATGTCTTGGATGATGGGAAGAGAGACCCCGATGATCCTCTCTGTGGTTCTAACAATTCGATAAAAATGTTGGGTTATATGTAAGGCTGGTCTCGCCTCTTTGGATTCTGCAAAGCTGCGATGCAATGTATAATCACGAACTGGAGCGGAAT